TATTTAGTAAAAACCACCCCTGAACGAACCGACAGTAGTAACGTATTTACGACCTTGAAACCTTTTCTATTGTAAACAACTTAACTTCGACACAATGGGATAATTTTTGGATGGCCATATAACCTTATAACTAGTTTTTGGAGTAAGTACTTTACTGTGAAAGATAATTGCAAACGCCGTCAATTATTTTATGAGGGGGTCTTTAGCACTTTGGACCGCAACCTGCAATAAAAGCATTACGAATCCTTCGCAACGGAGGTATAGTCGTCCAGATCGTACTTCGTTTTTATGACTGCACCCTATTGTGTAGGAGTTAAATCCCTTCACAATGGGTCCGTGCCGCAAGTGATCCAGCGCTCATAAACCATCAACAGACCAACTGTCTACACTACACAGGGCCGTACTTTCCCCCAGCATGTTGTTAAAATATGTACCTTATCTTACTATTATTATATGTAGATATCGAAATATGTATTTGCTTGTTTTTTTCAGGATGAAAGTGTTTATTAAATGATTATTCTGAATCTTATTAGTAATTATTATTATTATTACTACTACTGTCAGTAGTAGTAATTTAGAAAACATTAACTATCTATTAATTTTGAAAGAAGGGAAGTTGTAAACTTATAAATCTGTTTTATCTTTCTCTTTACAAATAAATTTTAAATTACAAACTCATTAAGAGCAGAAGGGGTATTGTTAGAAATAACAAACTCATTAACAGTGAATGAAAGGCTCTTAGAAATAAATATTTGTATACGGGGTATAAAATTAAACGGATTCAAGAATTTTCTTTCATTTTGTATAACATTCTTGCGAATAATAGCATAGTGCTTACCTTTGTGTGAAAATGTTTCGTCCTTGGGAAAATCAAGAAACTGTGAACAACGAACTTAGAGTGGAGAGAATGGAGGTTGAAGAAAATATTTTAGAAGAAAACACAAGACATCATCATTACCTATCGCCAGACGCCAAAGAAATAATCAGGAACGTCTACCACAGTTTACTAGAAAAGGAATGTTCTGCTCCCATCAAAGTTTGCAGTGAATTAGTGAAAAAACCCTATTCCACAGTACGAGATATTATAAACAGCAACAATGTTGAAAAAAAAGTTAGAACCCACCAAAAATTTCCAAGAATTCTGGACGAACTGGGAACTGAAATAAAGGAAGTTATTTATAAAATGTATAAAGACAATCAGTTGCCTACAACAAGAAGTCTAAAACTGAAATTACAAGAATTGGGATTTGAAATCATGTATTCGGATGAGACATTTCGACAGTATTTGCGAAGTGTAGGCTTTCATTATAATACACTGAATCAACGATTGGGTATAATGGAAACTCCTCGCTTAAAAAAAATGAGATGGGAATACATTACGAAAATAAGACAATTTCGTGAAGAAGGCCGCTATATTGTTTGTGTTGACGAAACTGATTTAGTAAAGAAGGGTCTTACAGACGGGACCGAGAATTGTTACTTAGAAGGGCCACCTTCCAGAGATAAAAGAATAATAATTCTTCATGCTGGCGGAACTGATGGGTGGGTGCCGAATGGATTATTCTTTCAGCCAAACAAATTAAGAATTGTTCAGCTGACTATCATTGTGATATGGATGCGACGTTGTACGAATCTTGGGTTAGACAGCAATTAATTCCCAATCTTCCTGCAGGAACGGTGATAGTTATGGACAATGCCAGCTATCATTCAAAACTATTAAACAAAATACCAACAACGTCCACAAAAAAAGATGATATTATACATTTTATGAGGCACAATGACATAGACATCCCGGCAGGTAAAGCAACAAAGACAGATCTTTTAAATTGTATAAAACAACTGAATATGCCAAAACAATATCGAATCGATCAAATAGCCAAAGAACATGGACACATTGTGTTGAGACTTCCGCCGTATTACTGTGTTCTGAATCCCATTGAATTAATATGGAGTAGTCTGAAAAGATCAATTCGACGAAATAACACAACCCCTAATTTAAGCGCTCAAGTGGTGGATCTGATTAGACAAGAGGTTAATAACATAACAATAGATTTGTGGAAAAATTGTGTAAAGCATGTAATAGACATTGAAAACAGCTATGTTTCACCTAATTTTCAAGAATTTGTTGTCCATTTAGAGGACGAAGACAATGACGACGATGTAGTAGACTATTTTTTTGATAGTGATAACGACTGATTTGCAACTACATATTTTTATTATAAAATAACACTATATGTGGATCTGAAAATAGTATGTAAATTATTTATTTATTTATTAATATTGTTAATTTGTTCTCTTTTGTTTAAAATATTTTGTTTATATTATATGAAAAACTGTGAATAAATATATTTATTTCACCATTACGCTGATTTTTGTCCACATCCCACACTTCTGTGAATGAAAGCGGATCCGGTCCTGCATAGGTAGCTCTCAAAAACCTTTAAGACGATTTATGAGACGGCTGTTCACACTTTCAATAGACCACCAAATGCTTGCGGTAATTGTTATTGCAGTGCCATAAAAACGGAGTACGATCTGGACGACTATACGACTTCAGCCAGAGCCGGACTTCAAATTTTGGAGCGTTCATATATGAATCATGGTAGAGTTAATTTTTGTTGGAATTTTTCGAGGAAATATGTATTTGCAAAGATTTAAATAGTTTTAAGAACCACACTTTCATGTGTTCATTTTAAGATTAAATTCCTTGAAAGCGGACCGTTTAACAATCTACCTGTTCACGTGTTGAAACAAATACGGTCGTGGAAAGGTAAGGGTGGCGAGTAATCTTGATTGACAGTTTTATGCTGGGGCACTTTTCAAAGTGGTCGGAAATTTTACAGCTGCAGTTCCCATAATTGGAGTAATTTGCAAATATCTTTCGTCGTAGAATATAACAAGGTCCACTGCATATAACTTAAAGAAAATAGTGTTATTTTATCATCTACACTAACGTAGATTTAGAATATTTTTTGACTGAAAGAGATGATGACTTCTGAAATAAACATATGGTAGATGCATTAGAAAATTTTTATTTAAATGCCATGCTACCAGAAATTGTTGACTCGTGGTGGAGTCGAAATCAGTAACTCCGAAATATATTGAAAAAAGATTTATAGACAAATGTTAAGTTTTTTTTTTTGCAATAAGTGTAAAATGTTGAATTTTATGCTTTGAAGAGGTCTTTACTTTTTTGTTATTATTTTTATTTTATTAATTTATTGATGATGATATTTTCCTGTGATTGTTTAATATTTAAATGAAGTGTATAGAGGCAGGGATCTCAGCACTCTGTTTACCAAACTCACAAAACGCAAAACGATTACACCTTTTTGGCTATCTGTTGCATTTCCGGAAGCGGCCACTGACCCTTTTGGGTATCTTTACCTGAATTTGTAAATAGCACTGTAATGTTAGTACTTCTGTAACCGTCCTACATTAAACATCAAAACCGAACGCTGTCCATTATTTCAATTATAACAAAAAAAGGTCCTTCGAGCAATATCAAGGTACAATTCGGAAGACCATACATGGTCGTATCAACAATTACAAAAAACGTTGGTACTACGATTCGGGTTGTACGAAACATTGGCATTCAAGCCGAAACACTATCTATAAATTTCTGCTTGAAAATTCTTTGGTATCATAAAATCTATCTCTTCCTTTCGTACTGTCGGAGTTTGTATGTACCCGTTTCCATTTGTGCAGTATAAGTACTCCTCTCTTAGGAATTGTAGTAATTTATAGCTGCAATTTTATTTGCTTTACTGCACATATTGTCATAGACATATCCTACATCCCTAATATAGCTTGAATGTATTCCAATAATAAAATTCCATTTAATTAAAAGGGGGAATCAAAACAAAACAACAACGTAGAAATGTTCATCATATTTCTGTAAAAATTTTACCTGCCTTTATCCTTCTTAATGATATTGTCAGGTACTTCAAAGGGTGGTTCAATAAGCTTAATGTATTTAAAAGGTGCTCTATTATGTGGGCCATAAATTATAGCTTATCACTTCAGCTAATATTTTGGGATGCCTAACTTACCAAAATTTGCCCGAAGTGCTTTGCAGTTTTTTTTACAATAACTAAAATTTCTTCGTTCGTTGGAATTTAGGATTGGATATAAGCATATTAAGGGTGATTATAACTGGATTATGCACAGTTTTAACATTACACAATGAAGTGTTAGAAGACATATATCACATGCACGTGTTCTCCATAATATTATTCATGATTTTATTGAAAATTCGGATTTGTTGGCGCGATTGTTTCTGGTACCATTCTCTAACAGTCGCCCTACTAGAAGTAGAAATATTTTTAGAGTTGCAAACGTATCAACAAATCTATGTCGAAATCATCCTGTACATAGGATAATGATGGCAGCAAACAGATTGTCTAACGGTAACGTGCTCGTTTTTAATTTGAATTTTAACAAAATTAGACGCCAGGTATCAATATTTTATAGGCAGGTGTAATTTTTTTTCATTTCTAATTGTAATATCCACATTAATCAATTTATCTAAATAAGTTAATGATATGTTGTTAACCACTGTTAGGAATTAACTATGTTCTGTTTTGATTTTTCTTTTCCATTAATTTTTTTCTTTTTTGTAAATTGGAAGTTTCCGTTAATAAATTAAACATTAAAAGTAAAATTTTAACAGAAAAAGAAAAATGGCGCCTAAAGTAGAACAAAATTCTCTACCACCTCGATATTTTTTAAAAGCACACCGAGTTATAGTTTTCGCTAAAAATCCGCTCGGGTTTTACGCACTTTTTTTATTTTAAAAACTGTTACGTTTTTTAAAAAATACAAGACTCTTCCTTAAAGATTTTTATGTCATGAGCACGCACATGCATTAAGTATCATGTCATTATTCATTTTCCTTTTTCTCGATTTGCCTCGACGCCACTGGGTCCTCTTAGACGCATGCGCCACCTAAAAGTGGGGATAATCCACTCGGTTGCCGTTTTAGCGCAAAATATAGCGCATAGACGAGGGGACGATCGTAGCGCAGCAGTCTTGCGTTAGCCATCAAGATGGCCGCAAGTGACAGTAAAGCTCCGCTTAGAACAGTGAAAAGAGTGCAGTTTGGTATATTAAGTCCAGATGAAATAGTAAGTAAACCATTCCTAAGATCGTCCCCCACAATTTGAACATAAATTTATCTCCGACAAGCACGAAATAAGCAAAAAATCGTTCAATATTGAAACGGTCTTCCAGGAACCATTTCCTATGTAATCGAGTGCGCTGGCTTCTGCGTCAAACTAAAGTCAAAATGAACATTTGACGCCCAATCCCCACACAAAAACGCAGATTTTCATTAAATCAACACTTGTAATCGAGAAGTAGCCAACAAAAACACTATTGTGCAACAATAATTCATTTACTAATAAAAAAAATGTCCCCTCCTAAACATCTGACGTATCAGTGCTGCCAACGCAGATTTGGGGAAAACCAAAGCCACTCACCTTGGCTCCAAGTTCAAATAAATTAAAACTCATTCCGGTATTTTCTTCGTGCTACATTTCGAGGCTGTTATGCCACTTTTATTAACGTTGAAGCTTATTATACGTGCAAAATACAAAAAATTGCCACAATGGTAAACAACAATTTTTTTTGCAGCGTCGAATGTCCGTCACCGAGGGCGGCATCCGTTTTCCAGAGACCATGGAAGCGGGTCGCCCCAAAATGGGTGGTCTTATGGACCCCAGACAGGGCGTTATCGACCGCCACTCGAGATGCCAGACATGTGCCGGGAACATGACCGAATGCCCAGGACACTTTGGCCACATCGACTTATCCAAACCAGTTTTCCACGTTGGTTTTGTCACAAAAACGATAAAAATCCTGCGCTGTGTCTGCTTTTACTGCAGCAAATTACTCGTTAGTCCGAATAATCCAAAAATAAAAGAGGTTGTGATGAAGTCAAAAGGTCAACCCAGGAAAAGGTTGGCCTTTGTGTATGATCTCTGTAAAGGAAAGAATATTTGCGAGGGCGGTGATGAAATGGATGTAGGGAAAGAGGGCGAAGACCCCAATCAAGGTAATACGATCGTGTGTGTTAGTTGCTTGTTATTATTTTTCTTTTTGTAGCTAAGAAACAAGGTCACGGTGGTTGTGGCCGCTACCAACCTAATATCCGTCGCACAGGCCTTGATCTCACAGCAGAATGGAAGCATTTAAATGAGGATTCACAAGAAAGAAAGATTGCTTTATCAGCTGAAAGGGTCTGGGAAATCCTCAAACATATCACAGGTTGGATTAGTAAAATCGTCACAATTTTTTTTATTATTGTTGTTTATATTTATAGATGAAGAGTGTTTCATATTGGGTATGGACCCCAAATTCGCGCGTCCTGATTGGATGATTGTCACAGTATTGCCGGTTCCACCCCTGCCGGTCCGCCCTGCTGTGGTGATGTACGGTTCAGCTAGAAATCAGGACGATTTAACACACAAATTAGCTGATATTATTAAAGCTAATAATGAATTACAAAAGAATGAGGCTGCTGGCGCTGCAGCTCATGTTATCGCAGAAAATATTAAAATGTTGCAGTTCCATGTGGCAACGTTGGTAGATAATGACATGCCCGGCATGCCAAGGTAACTTGATTTGATTAAGAAAATTATGTCATATTTCAAATGTGTTCTTTTTTCAGAGCTATGCAAAAATCGGGGAAACCGCTCAAAGCAATAAAAGCCCGCCTCAAGGGCAAAGAAGGTCGTATTCGTGGTAACCTCATGGGTAAACGTGTGGACTTCTCCGCACGTACCGTAATCACCCCTGATCCAAACCTCCGAATTGATCAAGTCGGTGTTCCCCGCAGCATCGCCCAAAATTTAACGTTTCCAGAAATAGTGACCCCTTTCAATTTCGAAAAAATGTTAGAACTAGTCCAGAGAGGCAACTCTCAGTATCCCGGAGCCAAATACATTATTCGCGACAACGGCGAAAGAATCGATTTACGGTTCCATCCGAAATCGTCAGATTTGCACTTACAGTGCGGCTATAAAGTCGAACGACACATCAGAGATGGCGATTTAGTCATTTTCAACCGACAGCCCACTCTACACAAGATGAGTATGATGGGGCATAGAGTGAAAGTGTTACCATGGTCCACGTTCAGGATGAATTTGTCTTGTACCTCACCATACAACGCCGATTTTGATGGTGACGAGATGAATTTACACGTGCCACAGAGTATGGAAACTAGAGCTGAAGTGGAAAATTTGCATATTACTCCTAGACAGATTATTACCCCACAGGCGAATAAACCAGTCATGGGTATTGTACAGGACACACTCACCGCTATCAGAAAAATGACAAAAAGAGACGTTTTTATTGAAAAGGAACAAATGATGAATTTGTTGATGTTTTTACCAATTTGGGATGGTAAAATGCCCAGACCTGCCATCCTCAAACCTAAACCTTTGTGGACCGGCAAACAACTTTTCTCCCTGATTATCCCAGGAAACGTAAACATGATCCGCACACACTCAACTCATCCGGACGATGAGGACGACGGCCCATATAAGTGGATTTCACCGGGAGATACAAAGGTCATGGTAGAACACGGCGAGTTAGTCATGGGGATTTTGTGCAAAAGAACCCTCGGTACGTCCGCCGGATCTTTGCTTCATATTTGTATGTTGGAGCTGGGTCACGAGGTGTGTGGTCGCTTCTACGGTAATATTCAAACTGTGGTCAACAATTGGCTTCTTCTGGAGGGTCATAGTATTGGAATCGGCGATACTATTGCTGATCCTCAAACTTATTTAGAAATTCAGAAAGCCATCAAAAAAGCCAAGGAAGATGTAATAGAGGTTATTCAAAAGGCTCACAATATGGAGTTGGAGCCTACTCCCGGTAATACGTTGAGGCAGACTTTTGAGAACCAAGTCAACAGAATTTTGAACGACGCTCGTGACAAGACTGGTGGTTCAGCCAAGAAATCTTTGACTGAGTATAATAACTTGAAGGCTATGGTGGTGTCGGGTTCTAAAGGTTCCAACATCAACATCTCACAGGTATGGAAATACTAAAATGTAGGGCGATTATAATATCTGATTGTTTGTTTTTTTTCGTGCGTAGGTTATTGCTTGCGTGGGTCAACAAAACGTCGAAGGTAAGCGAATCCCCTTCGGCTTCCGCAAGCGCACCCTCCCTCACTTCATCAAGGACGATTACGGTCCCGAATCTCGTGGCTTCGTCGAGAACTCCTACCTCGCCGGTTTGACGCCTTCCGAGTTCTATTTCCACGCTATGGGTGGTCGTGAAGGTCTCATCGATACCGCCGTCAAAACCGCAGAAACCGGCTACATCCAGCGTCGTCTCATCAAAGCTATGGAGTCCGTAATGGTACACTACGACGGCACGGTGCGAAACTCGGTAGGTCAGCTCATCCAGCTGCGTTACGGAGAGGACGGTCTTTGCGGAGAAATGGTAGAATTCCAGACTTTGCCCACGGTGAAGCTCTCCAATAAAGCGTTCGAAAGAAAATTCCGATTCGACCCGAGTAACGAGAGGTACTTGAGACGAGTATTCAACGAAGAGGTAATCAAAGATCTGATGGGCTCGGGTGAAGTCATCTCCGAGTTGGAAACGGAGTGGGAACAACTCCAGAAGGATAGAGAGGCGTTGAGGCAGATTTTCCCGAGTGGAGAGTCCAAAGTTGTACTACCGTGTAACTTGCAGCGTATGATTTGGAACGTACAGAAGATCTTCCACATTAATAAGAGGGCGCCGACTGATTTGTCGCCGTTGAGAGTGATTCAAGGAGTCCGCGAGCTTCTCAACAAGTGTGTTATTGTGGCTGGAGAGGACAGACTTTCCAAGCAAGCGAACGAGAACGCTACGCTTCTGTTCCAGTGTCTAGTCAGGTCGACTCTTTGCACTAAATGTGTCTCAGAAGAGTTTCGTTTGAGCACTGAAGCTTTTGAGTGGTTGATTGGTGAAATTGAAACTAGGTTCCAACAGGCACAGGCTAATCCAGGCGAGATGGTGGGAGCTTTGGCTGCTCAGTCACTTGGTGAACCCGCCACTCAGATGACACTGAACACTTTCCATTTCGCTGGTGTGTCGTCGAAGAACGTAACTCTGGGTGTGCCACGTTTGAAGGAAATTATTAATATTTCGAAAAAACCGAAAGCTCCGTCTTTGACTGTTTTCTTGACGGGTGCGGCGGCTCGTGACGCTGAAAAAGCGAAGAACGTGTTGTGTAGGCTTGAACACACCACTCTTAGAAAAGTGACTGCCAACACAGCTATTTATTATGATCCTGATCCACAGAATACCGTCATTCCAGAGGATCAAGAGTTCGTTAATGTCTACTACGAAATGCCCGATTTCGACCCGACGAGAATCTCGCCGTGGTTGCTACGTATAGAACTGGATAGAAAGAGAATGACTGATAAGAAACTGACCATGGAACAGATCGCCGAAAAAATCAATGCCGGATTTGGAGATGACTTGAATTGTATTTTTAATGACGACAACGCTGAAAAGTTGGTCTTACGTATCCGAATTATGAACAGCGACGACGGGAAATTCGGAGATGGTGCTGACGAAGACGTAGACAAAATGGACGACGATATGTTTTTGAGGTGTATTGAAGCTAATATGTTGAGCGACATGACTCTACAAGGTATTGAAGCTATTTCAAAAGTGTACATGCACTTGCCACAGAACGATTCAAAGAAAAGGATTGTTATAACTGAGACGGGAGAATTTAAAGCTATCGCTGAGTGGTTGCTTGAAACGGACGGCACGAGCATGATGAAGGTATTGTCTGAAAGGGATGTGGACCCTGTGAGAACTTTCTCCAACGACATTTGTGAGATATTTTCGGTAAGTCGACTTAACATCATTACTTAAGTGGAAATGTTGCAATTTGTGTTCACTTGCAGGTATTGGGTATCGAAGCTGTCCGTAAATCCGTCGAGAAAGAAATGAACGCCGTGCTTCAGTTCTACGGTCTGTACGTAAACTACCGGCATTTGGCCTTGCTGTGTGACGTCATGACTGCCAAAGGCCATCTTATGGCTATTACACGTCACGGTATCAACAGGCAAGATACCGGTGCCCTTATGAGGTGCTCCTTTGAAGAAACAGTGGACGTGTTAATGGATGCCGCCTCCCACGCAGAGGTCGATCCTATGAGGGGTGTATCCGAAAACATCATTCTGGGTCAATTACCTCGCATGGGTACTGGTTGCTTTGATCTATTGTTAGACGCGGAGAAGTGTAAAATGGGCATTCCGATTCCTCAAGCTCATGGTGGGGATATAATGTCGTCCGGAATGTTCTTCGGTTCTGCCGCTACACCAAGCATGAGTCCCGGAGGTGCGATGACACCGTGGACTCAAGGCACAACACCTTACGTTGGTAGCGCTTGGTCACCACACAGTAAGTTAATCTACAACTCTAAAAATACGTGTATAAACTGTGTTTTTTGTTGCAGATTTAATGGGGAGTGGTATGACTCCTGGAGGACCAGCATTCTCACCTTCTGCGGCTTCAGATGCCTCTGGAATGTCACCAGCGTATGGCGCCTGGTCTCCAACCCCTCAGTCTCCGGCGATGTCGCCATTCATGGCGTCCCCACACGGACAATCTCCGTCATACAGTCCCTCAAGCCCGTCATTCCAACCGACTTCGCCATCCATGACACCCGTCTCTCCTGGATATTCTCCAACCTCCCCTGGATATTCCCCTACAAGCCCCAACTACAGTCCGACATCCCCCAGCTACTCCCCCACATCTCCGAGTTATTCCCCCACGAGTCCTAGTTACAGTCCCACATCTCCAAGTTATTCCCCGACAAGTCCTAGTTACAGCCCCACATCTCCGAGTTATTCCCCCACAAGCCCAAGCTACTCCCCCACATCACCGTCTTACTCACCAACCAGTCCAAGTTACAGCCCCACATCTCCGTCATACTCCCCCACAAGTCCAAGTTACTCCCCCACATCACCCTCATACTCACCAACCAGTCCAAGTTACAGCCCCACTTCCCCCAGCTATTCACCCACGAGTCCCAGCTACAGCCCCACTTCCCCCAGTTACTCCCCCACCAGTCCGAGTTACAGTCCGTCGTCGCCCAGATACACCCCGGCGTCCCCCAGCTACTCGCCCACCTCCCCAAGCTACTCGCCTTCATCACCACAATATTCTCCCGCGTCCCCCAGCTATTCACCGTCGTCGCCCAAATATTCACCGACTTCTCCCAGTTACTCCCCCACTTCTCCGTCGTTCGCAGGAGGCAGTCCGCAATATTCGCCCACTTCACCGAGTTACTCGCCCACATCGCCGAGTTACTCGCCGTCAAGTCCACAACATACTCCGGCGGCGAGTTCGCGGTATTCACCGTCGTCGCCGAATTACTCGCCGAGCTCGCCGAGTTATTCTCCCACGTCCCCTCAATATTCACCACACAGTACAAAGTATTCGCCGACTTCTCCCACATACACACCGACGTCCCCGAGTTACTCGCCGGCTTCACCGACGTACTCACCTCAGCCACCGAGGTATTCTCCGTCGAGTCCGAGCTACTCACCGACAAGTCCGAGTCAGGATCAAGACTAAGGACCTTGTGTTAATGTTTAACTTTCTACTTTTTTTATTTAGATTCGTAGTTTGTACTTTGGGTTATTTATGCGTTGGAATAAGTTTTTTTAGAGTCAGCACTATTGTAAGTAAAAGACTGTATTTTATAGATTTTATGTTCAACTTGATCTTTATTGAGTTTGAGAGAAAGTCTCATGTATATAGAATATATTTTATTATTGTAAATGTTAAAATTATTCAATAAAAGTTGACAAATCCACAGAAAGTTTTTACCCACTTCTAGTCTTTCTACGATGTCTAGAAATTTGCTGTTGACCAGTTCCAGTAATTTCATTTTTCAGACTTCCAGGTGTAAGAGAAAGCATGTGATTTTTGAAACCTCACCGAAATTAACTTTATGTGCCCACTTTTTTCCTGCAACTTCGGAATCTTTATGTCCCGTTCCATAAACCTCCATCTTTTTATTGTGTGACTTTTACCCTGAGTCCTTCCAAATTTTCTCTAATCCCTTGCCAATTCGGTGCTCGAAAATTAGAAAAAGCAGATGGATATCCCGGAATTTAAACAAATTGGGTTTTTTCCCAATAGATGGCTTATGATCCTTTCCTATTACAGGTTATGTTGTTTATTTTTTCGCAAGTATTGATTTTAGTTAAAAATTCACGACCGACAATGAATTACGCATTTAAATTTACATATCATGGGTTGCAGACGAAAAAATAACTCGTACATTTATCACGACCGGGTAAGTTCTAGAAATCACCTTTAGGATCAATTAATTTGTACCATCTAGGCAGATGGGACCAGTTATTGCTCAAAATGTTCAAGTTGTTCTTGCAACTGTGTAAACGATCTGTCTTCTGTGAGAAATATCCAAAGAAATATTCATCGACAACTTTCTTCCACTTCGTCAATACTCCAATATAACAAAAAATACCCACCATCTGTTTCAATGTCGCCAGACAAGGAGGTTTCAAGTACTACAAGTGATTCTCCCAAGTATTGTTCACCACAGCCACCAATAAGAACTTGCTCGTCATCTCCATTAGACTTGCGACTAACTCCACGAGATTCTCCTTCTTCTCCATTAGACTTACGCACGTCGGTGAAATGGAGATTTCCTCTAACTTCAAACAGCTCACGAGAATCTCCATCAACAACATGTTTGGGAGATTCTCAGCTGACTATAAACCAACAGTCGTCTCACGATTCTCCACCATATGAGTCACAAGAAAGTATTGCGTCATCCCCGCAGAAATATCCACCTGATGGTGCCAAGCCTTCCACTCCGTCAAACTATACAGGGTCTTCTACATATCGCTCAAGTTTAAAACAGTATTCTTTTTCGTCCACAGAACGATCTTCCAACTGTAGCCCCGACATAGACTCGTCTCCCTCAATCTACTATTCAACGTCGTCCAGTAACAACTCGCTCTCCTCCCGGACTTGTTCTCTATCTTCTCTAAGTAGACGCACCACACCCCAAAATTCACCCCCCAGAGGAAGATACATTCCACTATCTCCCGTGTACGCCTCACCCTATCGTCGGACAAACTTTCGTCGAGAATATTCACCTCTTTCTTCAAAATATTCGTCACCTTCTTCCCCACAGTGCACACCTACAGCATCCCCCAAATGCTGTTCATTGTCGCCGGAATATAAATCAACAAACTTGGATTATTCTCCCGATTCTCCAACCTATCACCCTAGTCCCCCCAAATATAAACCCGCAGCGTTTGATTATTCACTCGCTTCTCCCCAGTCCCCCACTTACAGTAACTCCTCTCTTGACTACTCCCCCCTTTCTCCAAACTACGTTCACGTTTCATCCATGTCTTTAAACGACAACAAATCACAGTCTCCTACATTCATAGACTCACCTTCCTCTCCAACATATACGCTCTCCTCACTGTCATATTGCCCCTTTTCTCCACAATATTCCTCCCCGGAATATTCTCCCACGTCACTCAAGTATTATCGAAGTTGTGATTCCCTTAATAACAATGTATTTAAATCTCCGTCCTCACCTCGATATCGGTGTCAGTCGCCAACTTGCCCGTATTCTCAGACGTACTCACCAGAATATTCTCCACCGATAGTAAAGTACATAAATAAAACTAATACTTTAAAGAAATATCGCTCGACGTCACCGACGTATTATCCGCTATCTCCGGAATATTCTCCACGTCGCTATACTCCGAAATTCAACGGCAGGAGTATCCCAGATGATGATATACCGTGTGTATGTTGTTCGCCGTCTCCTCCAAGGTATTAAAATGGTGTATGTCAATATGTTAACACGAAATCGATATTCATTTAATGTGAAATTGATGTTTCTGAAATGTATTTTTGATGTTATATACGTTTGCTGTTATGCTGTTAATGTTGAGTTGTTGTTTATTTCAAAAACTAAAATTGATACATATTTTTTGTGATATTTTGGTATTTACATTGACCGTCAATAAAATATTAGTGTTTGGATGCGTTATTTTATTTGAATTTTGCCGCTAATAAAAAAGTGTCTGCCACTCTGACACGAGGAAAATTTACTAGCGCAAATGTAACAATAGGTGTGATTTGTAGTAAAAAATGGTTGTCATGTTGGTGGTAGTGATGGGTAACCGGTCCACGTGTTTACAAACGACAAGTGACACATAGTAGAGGTTATTTTAGTTTTTGTTTTAATAAAAAATAGTACCAATATTGTGGGTTATATTTTTTCTGTTGTAAAAAATCGTTGTTTTATAATGGGGCGCAGGAAAGCAGGTTTTAGGAAAAACCATCAATTTGCAAATCAAAGAGTGAGTAGAATTATAACCTCAAAATTGTAATTTTATAATTTAAATAATTAGGCAAATCAAAGCAATGACGGGAAAGACAACAGGAAACCGTATTCCGATATTATTAGAGAAAATGAGAAGTTTGTTAAGTACTACGACGTGAGTATTTATGGTAAACTTGACAGTAACTAAAATGGGGTTGTTGCAGACTCAGAATGTTTGTAAAAAGGAAGAATTTGACGACTTTATTGCAAGTTTAAAGAAAGATTTGCCTGCTACGTTTCGTATAACGGGGTCTAAAGGAGTAGCTTGTAAAATGCTGGAAATTGTTCAAGGCCAGTTTATTAAAGATTGTTTAAATCAAGAGGGTGGTGAAGGTGAGGGTAAACCACCAAGCATTTTTCCACTACCATGGTAGAAGTATTATTACAACAAAAATGACTTTGTTATAGTTGTTTTTACAGGTATCCTGATAAATTAGCGTGGCAATTAGAACTCACTCGCAATGATATCAGACGCTGTGAAGCCTACTACAAACTTCACAATTTTCTTATCTCAGAAACCGAACACGGCACGATTTCGCGTCAAGAAACCGTCAGTATGATTCCGCCTTTACTTTTAGATGTACAACCCCACCACAAAGTATGGTTATTTTCACTTAATTAGTATACACTACAGTTTGTTCAGGTTTTAGATATGTGCGCCGCCCCTGGCTCAAAAACAGCCCAAATTTTAGAAATGTTGCACGCCAATGACGACCCCATTCCTTCAGGATATGTTATTGCAAATGACGTTGATAACAAAAGGTGCTATATGTTGGTACACCAAGCTAAAAGATTGAATTCCCCATGTGTTGCCATTATTAACCATGATAGTGCTATTTTACCCAATTTATCAGCGTCATTACCTGATGGATCAATTGAACAAGTTCAGTTTGATAGGGTTTTGTGTGACGTTCCGTGCTCTGGGGATGGAACTTTGAGGAAAAATCCTGATATTTGGATGAAGTGGACCCCAGCAAATGGGTTAAATTTGCATGGGTATTATTTTAATATGTACAAAGAAATGTGTGTTATATGTGGGTAATATTATAGTATTCAGTCCAGAATTTTGAGAAGAGGGGCTGAATTATTGACTACAGGGGGGCGCTTAGTGTATTCCACGTGTTCTATTAATCCAATAGAGAATGAAGCTGTTATTCACAGATTGCTGTCAGAGACTGATGGGGCACTTCAGTTAGTTGATGTTAGTAGTTCATTACCGGGGTTAAAATTTATGCCAGGTCTGTTATTGTTGTTATTATTAGTATTATCATTATCTTTGTTTGTTGTTTAGGTATGGAAAATTGGCTAGTGGGCAGCAGAAATTTGGAATTTTATTCTTCATATGAAGAAGTTGATGAAAAATGGAGAACTACAATAAGACCTCAGATGTTTCCACCTAAGCCGGAAGATAAAGAAAAATACCAATTAAATAGGTGGTAAGTATGATTATTTTAATTAATTTTGTACAATTCAGCTGTATTTTTTTTTTTTTTTTTTGGTCAGTATGAGAATTCTCCCCCATCACCAAAACACAGGCGCCTTTTTCGTCGCCGTCATAGAAAAAATCAGACCTCTCCACTCCAAAGAAAAGTCGTTCAAAACACACGAAGTTGCCGAAGAAACAAACGCGAACAAAAAGCGCGAAAACGAGGACAATTTGCCCCAAAATCAGCGCAAGAAGCGGCGGAAAGACGGCTACAGGGAAGATCCGTTTGTGTTTTTCAAAGACGAAGAACCCGTCTGGAACGACATTAAGTCCTTTTACGAAGTCTCGGACTCGTTCGATTCTAAGTGTCTTCTGACGCGTTGTCATTTTGGCAAGAAGAAGAATATTTATTTGACTTCGAACGCGGTCCGAGATTTGGTGGTCCAAAATCAGAGTGTTATCAAGTTTATTAACACGGGAGTTAAGGCTTTTGTACGCTGTGATAATAAAAATATGAAGTGTGCCTTCAGGATTGCCAATGACGGGTTGGAAAGTATTTATCCGTACATAGGGGAGAGTAGGAAGGTTAATATTCCGAAGGAGGATTTGATTACTTTGTTGTTGAATACGAATCCGGAGAAGTCGCCGCCGATTGCGTCGTTGAGTGAGGTTATTCAGAAACAAGTGGAGGGTTTGAGTAAGTTGGCGAAGTGGAGGTTTTTGGTTTTTTTGATGGGTGGTTTTAGGTCCTGGGAGTTGTGTTTTGATTTATAAGGAAGAGATTGAAGGGAGTGAAGAGCCGTTGGTTATTCATATTAGTGGGTGGAGGGGGACGACTTCTTTGAGGTGTTATATGGCACAGTATAGTACAGTGCATCTTTTGAGGCTGCTGGGTGGAGACATATCCAAATATGGTAGGTAAAAATTAGAAAGAAAAAATGTTTTTATTTTCTATTAAAAAGGTTTAAAGAATCACACGAAAAAGCTCGTAAAATACATATGTATAAAATAAAATAGTGTAGGATCGTTCCATATGAAAACACCACACTTGAATAAAAAAATTGTCAAAGGTTATTTGGACAGAACTTCCCTCAAGCCTGAAGTATTTCTTTGGAAAATTATCAAAAATTTGCGATTTTTGTTTTCTGATAACCTGTATAAAGTAAAAACCAGTGGCGTAGATAACACTCTCGCAGTTTTTTTGACTTTTCAGTTTTTCTTTTTTTTTTGTTTCTTCAGTTTTTCGATTTACAATTTTCCTAGCTTTCAAGATTAAATTTTTAAGTTTTTCAATTTTCCAAATAACGAATTTTTCAGTTTTTAGATTTTCCATTTTTTCGATTTTAGTTTCTCGAGTTTTCAGTTTTTTAATTTGCAATTTTTCGTTTCGGTTTTTTTATACTTTATTTTTTCAATAATTTGATTTTTCAGTGTTTTATAATTTTTTGTTTCTTGTTTGTTATTTTTTTCAATTTTTCGTTTCTTCACTTTTTCGATTTGCAATTTTTTTTGTTTCTTCAATTTTTAGATTTTGCAGTTTTTCGGTTTAATTTGTGGACTTTTTAATTTTTCATTTCTTCAAATTTACGGTTTTTTATTTTCTTGATTTTTTGTTTTTCGGTTTTCCAATGTTCTGATTTTCTGATTTTTCTTTTTTCAGTGTAAAATTTTCAATTTTTGGATATATGTATCAGTTTTTCTGTTTGCAATTTTTGGGTTTTCAGTTTTTCGATATTTCAACTCTCAGATTTTTTATTTTTCGTTTTTTCTGTTTTAGATTTTCAATTTCACGATTTTTCAACGAATCTTGTCTTTCTAGTTTTTCTATGCATTAATTTTTTCGATTTTATGTTTCTCGTTTTTTAGTTTTTCAATATTTCGATTTTTCTTTCTTCAGTTCCTCGATTTGCAATGTTCCTTTTTTTCAGTGTTTCGATTTTTAATTTTTCAAGTTTTCGAATTAAAAAAAAGGAAAAATTGCATTTTTTTTTTTGTTTTTCAGTTTCTCGATTTCACAATTTTTCGGGTTTGCAAGTTTAAAATTTTCAGTTTTTCAATTTTCCAATTTTTGAATTTTTCACTTGTTAGATTGCAATTTTTCGATTCTTTAATTTTTCATTTCTTCAAATTTCCGATTTAGAATTTTTCGTTTCGATTTTGTTATTATCTTTATTTTTACAATTTTTCGATTTTTCATAGTTTTGTAATTTTTTGTTTTTTCAATTTCAATTTTTCTTTTCTTCAATGCTCCGATTTACAGTTTTTCTGTTTTCTTTATTTTTTCAATTTTTCGATTTTGTACTGTTGTGATTTTCTTTTTCTTTTTTCATTGTGAAATTTTTCATTTTTTGGATTTTTCAATTTTTCAACTACTCAACTTTCCAGTTGTTTGTTTCTTTAATTTTTGATTTGGAATTTTTCCAGTGTTCATTTTAGATATACATAACATTAATAACTATTTTTTTTGAAATTTATCACCTTTTCAATTTTTCGAGTTTCAATTTATGAATTTCCCGATATTTAATTTTTCAATTTTTCAATCTTTCATGTTACAATTTTGACGATTCAATAATTTTCCGATTTAACAATTTTTGGGTTTTCCAATTTTTCGATTCGATTCCTTTTTTCCTTTTTCCAATTTTTCCGTTCATTAATTTTTTTGGATTTTTAAGTTTCTCAATTTTTATTAGTGTTTCAGTGTTTCAATTTTCAGTTCTTCGATTGGCAGTTTTTCGATTTTCCACGTTTTCGATTTTGCAATTTTTCATTTTTTCAGTTTTTAGATTTTTCAATTTTTTCCGATATTTTAGCTTTTCGATTTTTAATTTTTCAACTTTTCTAATCAAAACAAATGGAAAAATTGTAAAATTGAAAAATCAAAAATGAAAAAAACAAAAAAATATAAAATGAAAACTTTGAAAAATCTAAAAATTGGAAAATCAAAAGATTAAAAACTGAGAAACTAAAAAATCGAAAAAACGGATAATTGAGAAATTCAAAAGTTGCAAAATTGAAACTGAAAAATCAAAGATTGAAAATTTGAAAAATTAAACAAACGAAAAATGATAAAATCGAAAAACACTGAAAAAATAAAGGAGATGAAAAAAACGAAAAATTGTGATCCAGTTCAAAAATATCCTATTTTACTCTAAATTGAAAAACCGAAAAATCGGAATCCTAAATTCGAGAAATCGAAAATCGACCAATCAAATAATCTGAAATTTAAAAAGTCGAAAAATGATAATATCGAAAATTGAAAAATTCCAAAACTGAAATGTTGAAAACTTGAAAAATCTAAAAGACGAAGTCAAAAAAATTTAAAAATCCAGAAATCGAGACGTCAAGATATCGAAACATCAAAAAATAAAATGTAAAATTTAAAAAATCGAAAAATTAAAGAACCAAAAATTAAGAAATCTAAAATTTAAAGAATCGGTAAATTGAAAAATCTAAAAATTGAAGAATCGAAAAACTGAAAAATCGTGAAATTGGAAAATCACAAAACTGAAATATTGAAAAGTTGAAAAATCTAAAAATAGGAAAATTGAAAAATCTAGAAATCGAAGTAAAAAATTGAAAAATCGAGCAATCGGAACATAAAAGATCAAGATATCGAGAAGATCATTTTTAAATTTTTCAGTTTTACATTTTGTAATTTTTCGAATTCTGATTTCACCGAGTTTTTAATTTTCAGTTTTTCGATTTTTAGATTTCGGTTTTTTATTTTATTGATTTTTTCAATTTTTCGGTTTTTCAATGTTCTGCTTTTCTGATTTTTCTTTTTTTAGTATAAAATTTTCAATTTTTGGATATATCAATTTTTCTATTTGCGATTTTTGCGTTTTCAATTTTTAGATATTTCAACTCTTAGATTTTTTAATTTTTCGGTTTTTCTGTTTTAGATTTTCAGTTTCACGATTTTTTAATTTTGCGTTTCTTCAATTTTTTGCATTTTTTTCTAGTTTTCATTTTAAATATGTTTCTAGTAATAATTATAATTTTAAAAATTTGTCACTTTTTCAATTGAACGATTTTTGAATTTTTCCATTTTTCAATTATTGGATTGTAAAACTTTCTCATTTATTCGGTTTTTCGTTTGTTCGATTTTTAACTTTTCAATTTCTCGATATTTAATTTTTCAATTTTTCGTTCTTTCAATGTTACAATTTTTCGACTGTACAATTTTGACGATTTTATAATAATTTGTCGATTTTACAGTTTTTGGGGTTTTTCAATTTTTTAATTGGATTCGTTTTTCCTTTCCAGTTTTTCTATCTATTAATTTTTTCGATTTTATCTTTCTCGATTTTAAGTTTTTCAATATTCCGATTTTTGTTCCTTCAGTTTTTCGATTTTTCATTTTTTTACGATATTTTAGTTTTTCGATTTTTCATTTTTCAACTTTTCCAATAAAAAAAATGGAAAAATTGCATTTTTTTTGTTTCTTCAGTTTTTCGATTTCAGTTTTTCGGGTTTTCAAGTCAAAATTTTTCAGTTGTTCAATTTTCGAAATTTTGAATTTTTCACATTTTAGATTGCAATTTTTCGATTTAAAATCTCTCATGGTTTCAATTTTTAATTTTTCATTTCTTCAAATTTTTTATTTGCAATTTTTCGTTTCGGTTTTTTATTTTCTTTATTTTTTAAGTTTTCGGTTATGTAGTGTTCTGATTTTATAATTATTCGTTTTTTCAATTTTAGATTTTTCAATTACAGTTGTTTGTTTCTTCAATTTTAGTGTTCATTTTAGATATATATTAATAACACTAATTTTTAAAATTTATGACTTTTTCGATTGAGGAATTTTTGGGTTTTCCAATTTTTGGATTCGATCCGTTTTTTTTTTTTGTTTTTAAGCTTCTCAATGTTTTAATTTTTGTTTCTTCAGTTCTTTGATTTACAATTTTTCGATTTTGCAATTTTTCAACTTTTCGAATAAAAAAAAAATGGAAAAATTGGAAAATTGGAAAAAATATGCAATGAAAACTTTGAAAAATCTAAAAATTGAAAATCAAGGACCTGAAAAATTGAAAAATCAAAAGAAAAATTGAGAAACTTAAAAATCGAAAGAACGAAATATTGAATAAAGAGATCGGAAAATCGGATAATCGAGAAATCCAAAAGACACGCTGAAAAAGTAAAGGAAATGAAAAAACGAAAAATTGTGATAAAAAATATAAATTTGAACAATGAATGGAATGGCCTAAATTTAATTTCTTTAATTTCGCAGATGTAAACAAGTTCAAAAAGTCCGACGAAGACGAAGATAAAACCGAAGAAAAATCCGAATCCCAATAAAAACAACCAGGTTAGTAATTTTCAAATCATGTATTTGGAATAATTACGAATTATGTACAGAAAAAGCATAAAATCCTCCAAGAAGGTCACAAAATTGCGTATTAGTGTCTCACTAGACAGTTTTCTCACACTATATCACAAATAATTTGATTGGTATTATTATAAATTTAGAACAATTACCCACCAAACCCGTCAGAACTCTCCCCAAAACAAAACAACAACCGAAAAATATTATCTATCAATATCAATCTGCAGCGAACAAGTGCAAATAACATCGCTAACAATTTTCTCAATGGACGAATGACTTCAATTGACTAAATCTAAATAAGAACTGTACAAAATTGAGGACGGTTAAAAGAATCGTGACGTGAATCTACTTGAAAAAACGTGGTGCGTGGATAAATAATTTTAAACTTGAATCGTGACTGTTTTCTGGACTTGCACTTTAATCCTAGTGTTCTTCGGGCAGGGTTTTTCGCCCATTAGGTGTTTCTTCCAGCACATTTCTTCGTCTTCGAGGTTTTCGTGGCACAGGGGGCACCGGTTGTAGCCCTCTACTAATCCTCGGCAGCTGGTCACGTGATGCTTGATGTCGGATATTTTTACAGCCTCGGAACATTGGGAGCACTGAGTGTAGCTTTCCCGGCGTTCGCATTCCATTAGTAGGTGTTCCGTCAACATTGACACTTCCACCACCTGGCTGCACTCTTTACATCTGACCAGCATGGGACAGGACCGCCAGTAGTGGGAGTTCATGGAGTTGCTCACGGCCAGGATGCTGCTCTCGGATTGGTTGCAAAATATACACTGTCTGCAAAAATATACACAAACTATATGTATTATTATTATACGAGTAATTTGTTAAATAATAATTTAAATTAAGTTTAGGTATTTAGTTTTTTTTAATTCCTGGAATTCAGTGAAGATAAAGACGTAATGAGGTCATTTTGAAAATCTCCTAATTTGTTGAAAAAATTGCAATTGGAAAAACGCAATTTTATTATTATTAGTGTTACATTGTACGAATGAGAATTAATATACATATATGTTTTCTCACCAGTGATTGGAACAATTACTTTAAAAAAGAAAAACAAAACAATATTTTTGAGTAATCTTAACGGCATTGTTTAGTTTTTGTTTAAACATACATTGATATATATATAATTCAGCTCTGCAGGCCTTAAAGGCCCTGGGCTTTTTTAACAATAATTTTCCATTTGTTCCTGTCGGCTGCTTTGGATCTCCAATCTTCAATGCCTAAGTTCCACTTCAGTTTTGGCCTTCCTCTCTTTTTCTTTCCTCCTTTTAGGCGGTCTAATACTTTCCCAATTGTCCTATTGTCCTTTCCTCTGGTGCTCTTTCCACGTGGCCTAGCCATCTTAGTCTCTGTGCTCTGATTATCTTCGTGATTGTTGGTTCTCCGTATATTTCCTCGATCTCTCGGTTTGTTCTTCTTCTCCGTTGGTCTAGTTCTTTTATACCTCCATATATATTTCGTAGTATCTTGCGTTCCCATGCTTCCAACTTCTGTTCCTTTTCGTTCGTGACCGTCCATGTTTCACTAGCGTACAGGACTGTAGGTCTTACTATTGTCTTATATACTTGTTTCTTTGTTCGTCGTGTTACATTCTTACTCCTCAGAAATCTGTTTAATCTTCCTACACTCTTGTTTGCTTTCGCGATCCGTTCTTCTATCTCTTCGTTCATTTCGTTTTTGTTTGTAATTACTACTCCTAGATATTTGAACCTATTTACTTCTTCGAATTCGTATGTTGTTCCTTCTTCTGTAGTTACTTTCAGTGGTTTTGCTGGGGTTTGTTTTGTTTCGATTCTCATAAACTTCGTTTTCTCTTGGTTGATCGCTAAACCCATTCGTTTCGCTTCTCTGATTAGATTTTTTGTCATTTTCTTCATTTCTGCTTCTGTTCTCGTTATACATGTCACGTCATCTGCAAAGGCTATATTTTGGTGTCTTTTTTCGTATATCGTGCTCGTTCTGTGGATGCCACTTCTCCTTAATATTGCCTCGAGTTCTAGATTGAACAGGGTAGTTGATATTGGATCTCCTTGCCGGAGTCCTGTTCTTACTTGGAATGGTTCTGACAACAGGCCATTTATCCTGACTTTGTTTCTGGTGCTCTGCAGGGTCATCTTTGTCAGTTTTATTAGTTTTCTTGGGACTCCCAGTTCTTGCATGGCTTCTAGCAGTTCTTTCCTGTTAACCGTGTCATAGGCTTTTTTAAAGTCTATGAACAGCAGATATAAGTTGATTCCCTGTTCGTAATGTACTTCTTGTAGTTGCTTCAATATAAATATCTGGTCTGCAGTAGATCTATTTTTCCTAAACCCTGCTTGATATTCTCCTACTATTTTTTCCATATGCTGCTTTAGTCTTCGGTTGATGCAAGTGGCCATTACCTTATACGTTACGTCTAGCAGCGCTATTCCGCGATAATTTTCGCATTTCGTAATATCTCCTTTTTTAAATATCGGGCAAAGTACTGCTTCACTCCATTGTTCTGGCATTTTTCCTTCCTTCCAACATTCTAGCACTAATCGATGTATCTCTGATGCTACTGCTTCTCCTCCGTACTTTAGCATCTCGCCCTTTATTCCGTTTCTACCAGGACTTTTGTTGTTTTTCATCTGCCTTAGTGTTTCTCTGATCTCTCCTTCGTCAATTTCTATTGTTTCATCTGGGTCATCCGAGTCGTTCACTCTTTCGTTCGTATCTTGCTGTGTATCCTGTTCATTTAGCAGCTCTTCAAAGTATTCTGCCCATCGTTTTATTCTTGCTTGTTCGTCTCCTATCAGGTTGCCGTCCTTGTCTTTACTATATATTACTCGTGGTTGATAGCCTCTTTTCTCTTTTTTCACGTCCTGGTAGAAGTTCCTTATTTCATTCTTGTTGAAGTTTTCTTCTATTTGTCGTATTTGTTCTTCCATTTTTGCTCGTTTCTTATTTCTGCATATCTTCTTGTACTCTTTCCTTTTTTCTTGGTAATCTTTTTGGTTCTTCTCATTTTTTGATTTTAGATATTTCTGTCTGGCTGACCTCCCCGCTTCTATTGCTTTTCTACATTCCTCGTCAAACCATTCGTTTCTATTTTTGTTGTCTTTTTTGACGAACCCTAGTACTTCTTCCGAGGTCTTCCATATGTTCTCTTGTAGTTCTTCCCACCTCTCTTCTATAGGTATGTCTTGCTCTGTTGATCTTATTCTCTCATTCATCTTTTGTTCGTATTCCTGTTGTACTTCAGCTTTCTTAAGTTTGTTTACATTTATATCACGTTGCGTCTTCTTTCCTTCTTTTTTCTTCGGTATTTCTTGTTTGAGGTCTGCTCTTACTAGAAAGTGGTCTGAATTCGCTTCTGCTCCCCTGTAGCTTCTTAATCTGGTTATTAGTTGGGCATCTCTCCTTTCTACCAGTATGTGGTCTATTTGGTTGACCGTTTTTCCGTCAGGCGACATCCATGTGTCTTTGTAGATCTCTTTCTGCGCAAAGAAGGTGCTTTTGACTACCATTTTATTTTCTTCTGCAAACTCTATCAGTTTTTCTCCATTTTGATTCGTTTTTTGGTGTTTGCTTTCTTTCCCGATTGTTGGCCTGTAGCAATTCTCTTTACCTATCATTGCGTTGGCGTCTCCTATAACCATTTTAATGTCATGCTTTGGTATTTTCACATATTCTCTTTCTAGTTCTTCGTAATATTCTGTTTTTACTTCTAGATCTTTCTCCTCAGTCGATGCATGTGTATTCAGTAGGCTTATTTTCCTGTACTTACTTCTCAATCTTATATAGCTCATTCTTTCTAAGATCGGTTTGAAGGTAATTACTGCTCCTTTCAGGCTCTTCTTCACCATGAATCCTGTTCCTAGTTCTCTGTTGTCAATTCCGCTATTAAATAATATGTAGTTATCTATTTCAGTGAGGAATTTGCCTTTTTGTTTCGTCTCTTGTATAGCTGCTACATCTATATTATACCTTTGTAATTCTTGAACTATTTGTTTGAGTTTTCCTTCGCTATATGTTCCTCGAACATTCCATGTTCCTATTCTAATTTTCGGGTTTTTCTTTCTCTTCGTAATTCCTATCGGGTCATCCATGAGCTTTGCATACGTCGTCATTGTTTTCCGGTGTGTGGTTTCTTCCTCTGTTAGTTTTTTGGGTTTTCTTTGGGGTGCGACGGTGCTTTCACTAATTTGTCTAATTTAGTGTCCCAATGCCAGACTTCTCCTGCCCATATCTTCTTTTTGTACCCTATTTTTGCCTCGACTCCTTTCCCTTTTTCTGCTGCTGCTATTCCTCTTATTTTCTTCTGTATCTCGCTCTCTTGTTTGGTGTAATCGTCTTCAATAAACGTTTTTGATCCTTTTAATTAGTTCTTCTGTTTCATGATTGCTCTTTTTGTGTCCCAGTTCTCTATCTTTGCTACTACTATGTCGTATTTTTCGCTGACTAATCTTGCGTCTTGTATCTTAGTTAGGATTCCTACCTTATTTTTTAGGAGTTCTTCAACCTCTGCTGTTATTTCGCTTCCTTGTAGTTTCCCTCCTTTGATTACGATGTTCTTTCTCCTTTCTGCTTTTTCCAGTTTTTCTAAGTGTTGCTCCACTCTTTCTAATCTTTCGGTCAGTCTTTGGTTTTCTTCTCTTAGTGTTGTTACTTCTGTTTGGTATGCTCTTTGGTCTCTTTTCATTTCTGCGATTTCCTCCATTAACGTTTTGAACATATTCTTTACTTCGTCCATGTCTCCTGCTTGTACCCTCTTCTGCTTCCTCTGTACTCTTTGACCTTCCGGTGATGGTGAAAAGGAGGTTTCTCTTTTTCGTTTCTGGTTGTCTTGTTCTTCTATTGCTAGTTTGTGTCCTTTTTCCGGTTCAGGATTCTCGTTTAGCATTCCCTGGCCGACTTTCTTGCTTCCTGTGTATCTAGTACGTTCCTGTGTTGTTTACTTCGCGCCGCGATAAGAACTGTCACCCAGACTATCTCTTCGGAGGTTAGGTTCTTTTGATTCCACACTTTCCCGAATAATTGCTGTCCTTACACTTCTTGTTGCTTCTTACTCTTATTCTACTTCACTTCTTTGTTTTCTACTACTTCTCTTTCGCTTTTGACGCTCGGTATCTCTCGATTTTCGAGTTTGGATTTCGGAGCGTGTTCTGCTTATCGCAGTCAGGACCGTACTCGTACAATGATATAACCGAGTTAAATAAAAATTTTAAAATGTAAAATACCAGAAAGGTTGCATTACTACTTAAAAACTGTTACATACTTACTTTTCATCTTCTTCCTTTTGAGAGTTGTTGCTAGGCGAAGAAATCCCGCTTGCTGAGCTGGAACTCTCATTTTTGGCCGTGCCGTTGTTTTGGATGTTTCCGCCACTTTGGCTTTTAGAAATGGTGTAATTTTTACTTTGGCCGTTTACGTTGTCGTAGTTGAAGATGTTTTGGATGTTCGAGGTGCTTGGGCATTTGTTGATCTCGTTTGGAGTGGGTTCGGGGCTCAGAAAGTCTGAGTTCGGAGGCACGGAGCATTGTTGGATCACTCGCGTTTTTTCCAGCATTTCTTTCTTTCTCTGAAATATCCAGAAAAGATAGAAACTAGAAATATATTTTTTATTGTCAGAACTCTGTTGTTTTTTTGTTCAGTTTTATTTATTTGAAAAATGTCCAAGAGACTTTTAAATAAATTAGAGTAAAAATACTGGGAGAACATGTTGGTATATAGGCGTTTTATTTTTGAAACAGATGCAACGTTGCCACGCTCTTTCAATTTTTTTTATTTTTTTAGCGATGCAAGGGTTCACAAAAAATTGTAATAACGTTATTTTTAAGATGTGTGTTGCCACACTCTGTATATTCTTTGAAAAATTATAAAAATTTTTTGCTAACCTCTATAAAATAAAGTAAATAACACTCCCCAACCCCTGCGCCAGAAGGCGCAAATTTCATGGAGACAGCATGAAATATATTTAAGGAAAAAATACTTTTCGAAAAATAAAAAAAACTGAAAAATCGAAATATCGAGAAATCGAACAACCAAAAAACTAAAATATCGGAACATCGAGTAATTAAAAAAATATATGTAAATAAAATTGAAAAATCAAAAATTTTAAAAATCGAAAAATTGAAGAACCAAAAAGTCGGAATCCTAAAAGTTAAAAAATCGAAAATGGACCACTGAACATCAAAAAATCTAAAATTAATAAATCGCAAAAATTGAAAAATCCAGATATTGAAAAATTCCCGAAAATTAAATGTGGCAAAATCCAAAAACAAAAAATTTTAAAAATCGAAAAACCGGTGTCCAGAAATTGAAACATCGAAAAATCAATCGTAAATCGAAAGTGTAAAATTTAAAAAGTCGAAAAATCTATAATTTAAAAAATCGGAAAATTAAAAAATCTAAAAACTGAAATCTGAAAAATTGAAAAATCGAGTAGCGAAAAATCGAGAAATCGAAATAAAACATCGAGAAATCGAAATGGCCCAAATTCTAAAAAATCGAAATTGAAACATTTAAAAACTATAAGTCGAAAAATCGGAAAATTGAAAAACAGAAACATCGAAACCTGGATAAATTGAGAAATCGAAAAATTGCAAAGCCGAAAAATCGAGAAATCGAAAATCGACCAATCAAAAAATCTAAAATATCAAAAATCAAAAAAGTCATAATATCGAAAAATTCCCAAAATTGAAATTTCGAAAAATTGAGAAATCGAGAAATCGAAAAAACGGAAAGTCAAAAACTTTTGAAAATCGAAAAATGGAGATGTCGAGAAATTGAAACATCAAAAAATCGAAAAATGGAAAAGTCTGAAAAATGTAAAATTTAAAAAATTGAAAAATCTAAAATTTAAAAAATCGGAAAATCGAAAAATCTAAAAATTTGAAATATAGAAAAACTGAAAAATCGAGAAATGTGGAAAAATTGGAAAAGCGAAAAATCGAGAAATCGAAAAAAGAAAATTGAAACATCGAAAAATCGAAAAATCGGAAAATTGAAAAAGAGACATCGAAACCTGCATAAATTGAAAAATCGAAAAATTGGAAAGCCAAAATCTTAAAAGTCGAGAAATCGAAAATAGACCAAAAATCTAAAATTTAAAAATTGAAAAATTCTCATAATTGAAAGTGGAAAAATTGAGAAATCGAAAACTTGAAAAGTCGAAAAACCCATGTCAAGAAATTGAAACATCAAAAATTGTAAAATCGAAAAATCGAAAATGTACAATTTAAAAAATCGAAATATCTATAATTTAAAAAATCGGAAAATTGGAAAATCTAAAAACCGAAGAATCGGAAAACTGAAAAATCGAGATATTGAAAAACCGAGAAGTAAAAAATCGAGAAATCGAAATAAAACATTGAGAAATCGAAATGGCTCAAATTCGAAAAAATTGAAACATTTAAAAACTGTAAGTCGAAAAATCGGAAAACTGAAAAATCGAAACATCGAAACCTGGATAAATTGAGAAATCGTAAAATTGCAAAGCCGAAATATCGAGAAATCGAAAATCGACCAATCAAAAAATCTAAAATATCAAAAATGAAAAAAGTGATGATATCTAAAAATCTCAAAACTGAAATATCGAAAATTGAAAAATCGAGAAGTGAAAAATCGAGAAATCGAAGTAAAAAAATTGAAAGAAACATTATTTATTTCAATACAGTGCCCAAGGGACTTAAATCCCAATAACACGGCAAGGTTATAATACATAAATTAAAATACAATATTACAAAACAAAAACTGAGCAACAGAACAAAACAGAAATTAACTAATTTAAAAACTATAAGTCGAAAAATCAGAAAATTGAAAAATAGAAACATCGAAACCTGGATAAATTGAAAAATCGATTTTTTTTTATTTAAATGAAAATTTAAATCGACCAGTCAAAAAATCTAAAATTTCAAAAATTAAAAAATGCTTATATCGAAAAATTGAAAAATTCCCAAAATTTAAATGTCGAAAAATTCAGAAATCGAAATAAAAAAATTGAAACATCAAAGATCGAGAAACCGAGAAGTCGAGAAGTGGAAAAATCGAAACTGCTCAAAATCGAAAAAATCGAAATTAAAACATTTATTCGGAATCCTAAAAAATTGAAGAAATGATATCGAAAAATTGAAAAATTCCCAAAATTAAAATGTCGAAAAATTGAGAAAGAAAACTTGAAAAATCGAGAAATCGAAAAAACTAAAAGTCAAAAAATTTTAAAAATCGAACAACCGATGTCGAGAAATAGAAACATAAAAAAATCTAAAAATGGAGAAATCGAAAGTGCAAAATTTAAAAAATCGAAAAACTAAAAAACCAAAACCAAAAAACTAGAAATCAAGAAATCGAAAAATTTCAAATCTAAAGAATCGGAAAATAGAAAAATCTAAAAATTGCAGAATCGAAAAACTGAAATGTCGAAAAAAAAATCGAATTGGAAAATCAAAAAGTTGAAAAATCGAGAAATCGAATTAAAAAAATTGAAACATCGAGAAGTCGAAATATCAAAGATCGAGAAGTCGAGAAAACGAAAAACCGAAAAATTGAGAAATCAAAATGGCCCAAATTCGAAAAAATCGAAATTAAAACAACTAGGGTTGAAAACGCCTATAAATCGAAAAGTCGAAACATCGAAAAACTGAAAAATCGAAAAATTTAAAAACCGAAAAATCTAAGAGCGAAAAGTCGATAATTTCAAAGACTGAAATCGAAACATCAAAAAAGTGAAAAAGCTAAAATTTAAAAATTCAAAAAATTGAAAAATAGAAAAAAAGAACTGAAAAATCTAGAAATGCAAATATTAAAATTTTAAAAAATCGACAAACCGAAATGTAGAGAAATCGAAACATAAAAAAATCGTAAAATCGAAAAATGGAGAATTCAAAAATATAAAATTTAAAACACTGAATAACTAAAAAACCCAAAAAACTAAAAATCAAGAAATCGAAAAATTTTAAATATATAAAGAATCGGAATATTGAAAATTCCCAACACTGAAATGTCGAAAAATTGAAAAATCAAGAAATTGAAAAATCGAAGAATTGGAAAATCAAAAAGTTGAAAAATTGAGAAATCGAAATAAAAAAATTCAAACATCGAGAAATCGAAACATAAAAGATCGAAAGTCGAGAAGACGAAAAATTGAAAAATTAAAATGACCTAAATTCGAAAAAATCGAAGTTAAAACATTCAAAGTTAAAAAAACGATAAATCGAAACATCGAAATTTAGCTAAACCGAGAAATAGAAAAATTGGAAAATCGAAAACCGAAAAATCGAAAAATTAAAAACCAAAAAATTGAAAACTCGAAAAAGGAAAAATTTTAAAAATCGAAGAATTGAAAAAACGAAAAATTTAAATGAGAAGTCGAGAACTCGAAGGTTTGAAAAATCTAAACATCATAAAAGTGAAAAGAGCTAAAATTAAAAAAAAAACAAAGAACTGAAAAATCGCGAAATCGAAATATCTAAAATTTAAAAAGTCGAAAA